AATAGCAAAAACTGTATGACCCTTTCATAAGACGACCCTATATTTCAAGGGTTGGCAAACTTTGGCTCCCTGCAGTCAGGGTAAGCCGCAGGTGGGTCGGGACGTTTTGTTTATTTGGAGCGTCTGCAGGCATGAGCCCCTCAGCTCCCTTTGGCCACAGTTCGCCGTTCCCAGCCAATGGGAGCGGCGGGACACGCCACTTCCCGCAGCTCCCATTGGCTGGGAAGGGCGAACCGCGGCCACAGGGAGCTGAGGGGCTCCATGCCTGCAGACACTCTAGGTAAGCAAAACGACAATGTATTAGATACTCAATTCAATGATTCCATAGAGTTTAAAATCATCAAATTTTGGTGTAGACCCGTTTATAAGCCGACCCCCGCTCTTTGATGCATCACTTTTTTACCAAAAATATTCAGCTTATGAACAAGTATATACAATAGCTAAGTTCATGGAGGAGGTCCATCAATGGCTATTAATCAGGATGGGCAGGGATGGTGTCCCTAGCCCCCGTTTGCCAAAAGCTGGGAATGGGCAACAGGCGATGGCTCCCTTGATGATTACCTGTTCTGTTCATTCCTTCTGAAGCACCTGCATTGGCAATCACTGTTGGAAAACAGGATACTAAGCTAAATAGACCTATGGGTTTGACCCAGTATGGCCGTTCTTATGTTCTTAGGTGTACTTAGTGCATGGGGTGTTCTTAAAACTATTTTCCTTAACTTCCTTCTAGCTGGATTTCCATGAAGATTGAACTGACTTCTACTCCATATACTGTCTGCAGGCAGGGTAATTATAGTGGGAAAATAGTTAATTTTTAAAAAATATTTTAATTCAGTCACTTAAGAGTTATAGCCTTCAGCTCAGGTGGAGGGGCAGTGGTGATTTTTGGCAGAGGGTGGTTGCCTTTGATCCTGCATGGCAGTATTCCATGGCATACAGCAGCATGGAACTTTCCTTCTCTAGTTGAAAAACTGACAACCTGTTTTTCTTCTTTCCTCTCCTTGAATGTAAGAAACTACCTTTGCAACATTGCAGAATAATGAAAAAGTGCCAGCAGGGTAATGGTTTAGAATTACATTGCAGCATTACTTCTTTCAGTCACAGCACTTGCTGTAGTGTGTCATTAATGCATCTACTATAAATATACAACTACTGGCACCTGGAAGCACATATAGATTTGGTTATCAGGTGTATTAGCTTTTGTAAATGCTCAATCAAGTATTGATAAAACCTTCAAATTGGTTACATACGCATCTCCACAAATCTCACTGGAGGAGGAGATTTAAAGAAAGAGTTGAACCTTTTACAGAAAATGCATCCTATATTCAAACAGGATAAGGTGTACATAAAGTACAAGTGACATTTCTGCACAAAAGGGTCACATTCCAATGAGTAATCAAGACCCTAGTACTTTTCTAGTCATTTCCTAGACAGTTTGTAAAAAATTTCATCCGTAAGTTTCTGTTCAGAAGTACATTCTTTCCCTTTGGAGACCATTTAAAAGGATGCGGATGGAATTAAAATTCATACATAGTGTGCAATGACAATAGCATGTTTATAAGGTAGTTGCTGTTGGTCCACGGGCTGGGAGGAACCATGAAAATGCAGTAGCAGGCTAGTGTTGGTGTAACAAACCTGTCAAAGCTAGTTGCTAAGAAGTTACTTTTCCATGTATTTGATAATGTGCACTAAATAAATACTCTTACCTTCATTTAATGGAAAATCTTTGGTCTCTTACTGCAAGATGTGCAAATGCACGAGGCTTTCTGAAACCTGAATACACTTCTCAGCTCAGCTTGGGTCTTCACAGAGCCACATCAGGCAGAGTTCATGGTACTAGGTTAGCAATGTGTTTCGTCTGTACCAGTTATGATGAACTTAGCTCTCAAGGAAAGGGAGTTATTTAAGAAAGTAGTGAGCAGATTCAGAGATAAAAAGGTCTGGATCCCATCTTCTTGGAAGGTAAGGGTAAAAGGACAATTACCCTGAACCAGTGACAAAGGCAAAGATATATAGCAAGGATACTTGAGATTCCTTTGAGCTGTGAGATATAAACCCAGAACTCACCACTTTGTGAAAAAGTCTGTCTTTAAGGTGTATCACTTTCAATACAACCAACATGTAGTATTGCCAGTTAGTTACACAATCAGTTTCAATTTCATGTGTTTATTTTGCTTCCCTAACCTTCTGCTGTGAAGTTTGAGCTCTTACAAGCTCTTTGGATAGCGCTAGCTGCTCTCTACAAACCAAAAGCAGACTTGGGCCATGACTACGCTACATAATTAAGTCAACCTAACTTACATCAGCATATAGCCGCCACAGTAATTATATCACTTGTGTGTGTCTACACTTTGCTCGTTGTGTCGGTGGTGTGCTTCCTCACCAGAAGTGCTTGTATCGATTGTACTGTCAGTGTGGGGCATTGTGGGACAGCTCCTGAAAGCTAATAACAGTTGACAAAAGCAACGCAGTATCTACACTGACACCGTGTCGACCTAACTACATTGACCTTGACTCTATGCTGCTCGTGGAGTTGGCATTGCGTGGCAGTTATGGCAGCTGGTGCAAAATTGAAGTGTAAACACTTCCATAGTTAGGTCAACATAAACTGCCTTGTTTCAACCTGTAGTCCAGACCTCAGTCTTTGTCTACATAAGCAATTTATGCTGGAATAACTATGTTGCTCAGGGGCATGGAAAATCCACACGGACCTAACTCCCAGTGTGGATAGCGCTATGTCAATGAGAGGGCTTCTCCTGTTGATACAGCTACAGTGATGGGAGAAGCTCTCCCATTGGCATAGATAGCGTCTTCGCTACAGCAGTGCGGCTGCAGCATTTTAAGTGTAGACAAGCCCTTGGAGATAAGAGGAAGCTTTCCCTGGAGGAGTTTCCTCCTGAGTCCTAATATTTAAAGGTTTCAGAGTAGCAGCCGTGTTAGTCTGTATCCGCAAAAAGAACAGGAGTACTTGTGGCACTTTAGAGACTAACAAATTTGAGCATAAAGATTCGTTTATGTCCCAATTGAAGCAGGTTAGCTTATATCTCTCAAAATGTTTTTTAATTTCATTTTTTAAATGGATATTATTGCCGTAAGTGTCAAATCCCTTTTTAAAGCCTCAAACTCTTGCTCTTAATGCTGCCTTGGGACAATCAGGGCTGGTCTATGCTGAAAACTTAACACTGGCATAGCTACATCTCTCAGGGGTGTGAAAAAAATCCAGTGTCCCTTAGAGATGTAGCTATGCCAACCTAACACCCAGTGTAGACAGCTCTAGGTCAAAGGATGACTTCTTCTGTTGATCTAGCTACCACCTCTCAGGGAGATGGATTAACTACAGCACCAGAATACTTCCTGTTGCTGTAGTGAGTGTCTACATTGAGGCGCTACAGTGGCACAGCTGTGCTGTTGTAGCATTTTAAGTGTAGACATAGCCTGAGTTCCACAGACTAACTTGTAAAAGATAATATTTTTCCCCACACACTCCAGTTTTGAATTTGTCACCTTATTTTCACATCCAGCCTCTTGCCAATTTCCCCCCCTAAAAACATAATCATTTATTAGAATTAAAATTTACCCCCCACCACCACCCAAAAAAAAAATTAGGATTAGAACACAAGATAATTTTCTTTAAAAATAAATGAGCTTCTACTGAATTTCACAATTCAAAGGCAAACAGATAGAACAATACAAAGAAAACATTCTAGACATTTTAATAAACACATCAGCAATAAAAAAAACTCAAACTTTGGTATACGAGATCAAAATTCAACCATGTGTTACTAGATACATAAAAACACACAAACATCAGTTACAATCAGTACAAAGCTACTTACTCATGTAGTAAGTGATTATAAAACTGTTGAGAAAGATTTTTGGCTTGATGATAAAAAAGCATTTAAACACAAGTTGAGCTAGATTCAGAACAGAAGTATGTACATAACCTAACTGTAAATTCTGCCCAAAGGACAGACACCATTTTCTACATGCATGAGTGACAAAGCTAAATTACCTAAAGTTAAAAAATACTTCTAATCTATAACATGTTTAACTTAAACTTCCATGTCCAACCCAGACTTTCAACAACAGCTACAGAGCAGCAAGTGTACTAGGGACTGGATATTTGAAATGGAGCAGAGAATGTTACCTAAAAACTAAAAAATTTGCAAAAAGTTCACACCCACAGCTATATTTTCACCAATTCCAGTAACTACAGAATTTCACAAAGTTTTCTGGGTACAAAATCATTGAACCATAATCTAAGTTTCCAACTGAAACTGTTTTCCTCCTCTAGTTTAATCATTTACCTGTCTGCATTTATTTTTTAAGTGCATTTTAAGAAGTTAACAGGTTTGCTGGCAAGTCTAATGCCAACAAATTCACTCAACATACTGGAAGGCTAAAGATTTGTGGATATAGTAAGTGAAGCAAAATCTAAACAACCCAATAGGCAAGGCAACTGCATACCACATCAATTTCAAAATCAGATATAAATGACTGAAATGTATAAAAATATATATATCTTCTAGAAAAAGGTTGAGGTAGCTCCTGCATTTGTCAATTTGGAGAGAGAATCTCAGTCTGGTGAGGTGGCTACAGCTCATGGACTACACAAAGGAAGCTTGATGAGAAGTCACATTATCAGTCCTCTTGGTTTAGGACGGGACTGAGTAAATACAAAGGTGAATTATTCACTACCACCCAGGAAACACCTATAGCGGGAAAGAAGCCCTCACCAATAGAGAACACAATCTAGAGTAAGAATTAAAATGCCTCGCATCCTAAAGAAGGAAATTAATGAGTCATCACTTTGGCTGGCCTGTGACAAAGATGCCCATTAAAATCACTCCACTTCAAAGAGCTTCTAGAAAGAGCAGCAACATTATTGCTACTAATAAAAAACCACTGGTGTCGCCATCAGGAGGGAGCAAGCAGGTTCTAACCCCAGTAGCTGCCATCATTGTCATGTGGTAGGTGCAGCCAGATGGAACATCAGGAAGAGTCCAGGAAGCAAGTTGGGATTTTGAATATCCTTAATCCTTGCAGATGTAACATCCCCCTAAAGTCCAGCAAGCCACAACCATTCTCGTCTGATCATCTTTTCTAACGTTCATCAAATCCACTCCCACCCCAATCCACTTGAAGATGGGTCTCCTTGATCCTTGCACTCACAGCTCACCTCTTCTCCCCTCTCTTGCTAACCTCACCTCTGTGATTCCACACTAGTGTTCATGCAGAGACATCCTTTTCCTGTCCCCACTGTTTTCAGTCCTTCAGAAATCATTCCTTTAGCCTGCCCTTAAACATGTAGGCCACTTGCTTCTTCCTAGCTACTCTGCCTTACTTAGAAAATTCAGAACATTCTCTCAAGGCAAGACATTTCCTTAACGCTTGTCCTTCCCTTCTCTATGCCTGTCCTTTATCAGTTTCAGGCTCCATGTTGATCTAATTTATGCTGTAACAAATTCAGGGCAGGGACTGGAAGTTCAATTCTGGCATCATATAGATGGCAAACACCTAATACCTTCAAATTGCAGGTTTAAATGCCCAGAAGAGCTGATGGAGAGCTCCACGCTGCAGAGGTAGATGAATCTGGTACCAGGCAGTGTCCTGGGGAGAGGTACTTTGGAATGGGAATTAAGATGAGGTGTTGACCCACTTTAGGAAATGAAGTCACCCACTGCTCTTCTCCCAAGCACATTTTCTGTTTAAACTATAAGCTCCCAGGGACCGCCGATATGTCTGTTATGGGGCACACCTATGGTCTAACAACAAATCTTACAGCACATGTTAAGAACAGAGATCTGGCCTGCTCTTGGACAATACTCCAGCTCTCTTTACTGTTGTGCACCAGTTGGCTACCACATTTCTTCCCTAGAGCTGGCTGCCTTGCAGTGGTGCTGTATGTATGCACTCATTAAAGTCCTTTGATTTACCTTTAGGATGAAAGGAAGAGAGTTAAAGAACATGGGACATTACCCCTGAAACCAATTAAACTGGAAGAAAAAATACACCAGACAACTTTCTAAACTGTAAATAGCCCGCATTTTATTTACAGTCAATACAAAAACTAACTCATTTCAGATGTATAGATTCGAACATCACATCTACTGCAAACTTAACACCGGTGTAAAAAGAAAAAGGATTTTCATGTTACATAAAAGAGCATTTGCTCTTCTATTCAGAGAAAGCAATTGCTCGGGTTATAAAAACAATACTGAGCAACAGTCATTGTGAACTGTATTTATTAGGAATCCTGCATGAGCAGCTTATGTCTTACTAATGGAGACATTAGCATCAGGAGTCGCAAACAAAAACCGATTCCAGATATGCTATGGCATTTTTAGCCCTACTGGAGCACGAAGGAACTCGAGTCTTCGACTTTCAAAAACACAATGTGCAGCAGTCATCTACATTGTTCCTGGGGTTGCAGGCCAGGTTCTTCTTGAGATCATAAATTCAGATCATTCTAAAAACGCAACAAAAAAGGCAGCTGAAAATAAAATCCCCCAAAGTAAAGACCAGGAGAATGCTATTTGTGTTGGATGTAGTAGCATGTCTCAGAGACGCCTCATACTATCGCCTCAAATAATTCTTTAATCGAGTGACATGAAGGAACAGAGCCAAAATGACAGGCTGTAATGACACCTGAGATAACATGGGAGGGAAGGAAATTTAATAACTCAGAATCTGCAGAGAACTGAATGAGGAAGCCAGCCTAGTAAAGACGCAGATTGGCTTTATGCTAAGAAAGCGTGTCCCAATGGGGAACATGTAATCAATGATACTGCCCCCATCTGGAACAGGAACCCCAACCCCACTACAGGCGGCGCTGGTAATTAGAATGTAGCCGAGCAGTATGCATATAATCGCCATAGGCACCCGAATAACGGGCATAGTCGGAATGCGCTTCTGGAAGACGGCGATAATCCAGCGGGGACTTTGTCGGCGAATGACGGTACACAAGTGGCGAGTCTGCTAAACGACGGTAATCTGAGAGGTCAGATAAACGGCGGTCAGAACTGTACCTGGTCAAGAAAAGAGACATTTAATGAATAAAACAAAAGGGTCTGTGATAGTGGCCTAACAGCGCCCTGGTTAAGCAATATATATATATTGGGGAGACCCTCATGAGAGATCAGAATCTCTCTAGTGAAGACCATACCCGCAGAGCAACACTATTAGTACATGTCTCACTAAGGCAAACCAGAGGAACTTGTGGGTTAATTGGTTCTTTTCAGAACAGTTCCTTAGCTATCTTTTACCTCCTTCGATGGATAGCTCAAATATACATGTTAAATTTTCCCCAACTCTTAGGCAAGTAAATAGTGCATGGGAAAGCAAGAGCTGGATATGCCTGCCATTTCTCTTAACAAATGCAGCCCATTTACTTATTAAGCACTGAAAATAGGGAGGACTGGTCTGACGACTTATGGGGTTGAGGACATTGGTTAAAATCCAATCCAGGTCAGTAACGGTGGTCTCAGTCCAGTTCCTAGAGAGCAGGCACCTACAACACGGCACCACCACAACTGACAGTAGTTTGAGTCTTTCATTCGCAGTCTAAGCAGAGGTGCCAACCTGTGAGAGAAACTCAACTCCCCATCTTAGCCCTAAGGGTTGTAGTTCCAAGTGAGGGATAAGGCACACTGTCTGTGGTAGAGTGCAAGAAATCTGCAATGCCATTGTCTGGGGTATACACGCCCTAGGTAGAAGAAATTTCCAGACCCCAGGGTTGCCAATCTTGCAACTTTCACACAAAACTGTAAAAAAACACTAAATAAATATCCAGTAGAATCTGCAGACCAGTAAGAGGGGTGCACCAGCATATTATCCCACCCTTCACCCTAGCCAGACGCACCCGAAGCAAAGAAATTGTAAGGGGGGGGACTATGTAAGGATCTGTATTACTGCCAGAGCGGGAAGCCATTTTGTCATTTTAATAATGCATCGAGTTTCACCTCCCACCCTGTCAATGCTTCCAGAACAGTACGTTAGTGTAATGTATTAGCAGGGGAATTTCCACTTTTTGGTGAAGCAGAACCAAGTTTATAAAGGCGAAGACCAATAGACTTGTATTGAGTCTGACTGCCTCTAGTCCCTTGGACAGCACATCGAGATCCTTGGATGAGAGGCTCTATTTATGTGCAAAGTATTATCACTGGCTTAGCAGCATACCTTTTAGCCAAAGCAGATGATTTTTTGAAAGGATCGTCATAGCCAGCACTCCGTGGAGGAGAGAGGCGGGTGCGTTCGTATGGTGGTGCGATGGCAGCAGCAGCAGCAGCAGAAGACTGAGACAGTCCCAAATACGGGGTTGCTTGTTGTCCAAGCTGGGTTGGCCCATCATATGCAGTCACAGGCTGAGCTCTGAAAGTGACTGCCAAGGGAACAGAGGAGGGCTGCTGTGCTGTATATGAAGCAGACATTGAGTTTGAAGACTGTGTTCTATAGGGTGTGGTCAGTGGAGCAGGGACCTGTGATTTGTAGGAAGCTGCTGCAGACTGATTGCTATAAGATGCAGCCAGAGTGGATGCAGGCTGGGTGCCATAGGTTGCTGAGAGCACAGCTGTAGGCTGGGCGCCATAGGAGGCTGAATGACCGGCCACAGGCTGGGCACCATACGAGGCTGAATGACCGGCCACAGGCTGGGCGCCATACGAGGCTGCGAGAGCAGTTGCAGGCTGGGCGCCATACGAGGCTGAATGGCCAGCCACAGGCTGAGCACCATATGAGGCTGAGAGAGTAGCTGCAGGCTGGGCGCCATAAGAGGTTGAGTGGCTGTCCACAGGCTGGGCTCCATAAGAAGCCAAGTGGCTGGCTGCAGGCTGGGCTCCATAGGCGGCTGCGTGTGTGGCCACAGGCTGGGCTCCATAGGTGGCTGTGTGACCAGCTGCAGGCTGAGCTGCATAGGCAGCGGCTGCATGTGTGGCTGTTGGCTGAGCTCCATAGGAGGCTGAGTAACCAGCCACAGGCTGAGTACCATAAGAGGCTGCATGCGAGGCCGAAGGCTGAGCTCCATAGGATGATGCTAGTGTTGCTGTGGACTGGACCCCATAAGAGGCTAACTGGGAAGCTGCAGCCTGGGTGTTGTAAGCAGCAGCAGCCTGGGCGCTGTAGGAATTTAGTGATGAGGCTGCAGGCTGGGTATTAGAAGCTCCTAGTGAAACAGAGGACTGGGTTCTGTAAGTATTTCCAAGTGAGGTCGAGGGCTGGGCCCTGTAAGATGCTGCCTGTCCCGTTGTTGGCTGGGGTCTGTAAGACATTCCGAGAGATGCAGAGGGCTGAGCTCTGTAGGTTGCACCCAGTGAGGTTGATGGCTGAGCTCTGTAGGATGCTGGTTGTGCTGTCATGGGTAGCGACACAGTGGCAAAGCCGATTCTTGTTGGTGATCGTCGAATTGGGCTTCTGTCCCTTCCAAAATATGAGGGAGATGCTTGCCTTGTCTGAGTGTCAAAGGAGTTGTATTTGCTTGAAGTGTTGGTGCCACCGAAGCGCTGCTGATAATCGTAGAGTGAGGATGCAGTGTATCCTGCAGAGACTGATGGATATGTAGAGTCTGTAGGCCTAAGCTGCTCGTAACCGTCGATCTTGGGTTGATATTTCTCTCTAAAGTCCACACTTGCTCTCTTGCTCTTGTCAGCATTGGTGCCTGCCTGGGCATTTTGTCCTGCCCCCTTTTTCTGAACATTAGTAGAGAGTTCCACATTGACTCTTCTTCCTTTCACTTCCTTTCCGTTAAGATTTTCGATGGCAACTTTTGCATCTGCTTCTTTCTCCATGTGAACAAATGCATAGTCTGATAAAGTAGACAGAGGGTTATCAGTGAAGAAGACAAGACATTTTATTACAGGATCGAACACTTAACAGATGCACGCATCTCTCTGCTATTACTTAAATGCAGTTTGGGTATAAACAGAGTCTGTATTGTAGCCTTCCTAATAAACTGCGGGCTGGCAACTAAATTACCCCAATTTACCATAGCTGCTACATTATGAAAACTGCAGTCTATTCTAAAAAAAATGTAGAGAAAACCCACCAGTATCTAATCACGGCACAGAAAGAAATCCATGTGCTCAGTAGGTTTGTTTACAAATACCCTCAAATAGTTCCCAAAATCTTAAATTCTGCAATATTGTCTCATTCAGTTCTGAGAACACAGAGCCAAATTGAAGTTTATGGAGTCATACCAGAGTTGAATTTGGTCCATTTTGTACCATTAAAGAACATGTAACCAATACAGTTTTCTTGAAATTTCAGGAAGGAAACTATCACTAGCCATCCACAAACTAGAGATTCTTCCAGCAGCTCATGCTAATCTTGCAAAAAAACATCCAAACTAATCTGCTTTGGAACCCTCTAGTTTGTCAAAGGTATTACACTGTAGAATACAAACTTAAACAGGGTTAAGGACTGTATTTAATATCTACAAAAGGATCTTTAATAAAATATATTTAGTCAGTGGAGCGAGCAATCAATTTAAATATTTGTGAAAATCAAGTATGTCAGAACATCTAGAACCGAGACTGGGAGGCTTTTATATTTTAAAAAGCCAAATAAGTAGAAAAAAGTAGCAGCCCCTTGACTATTCTGACTTTAATAATCCTGAAACTTGGTATGGGTAAGCTTTACAATTACATTGAAAAATTCAGTATTTCAGAAGGATTTACCTCTAGTTTCTCAACTTATTTTTAATTCAAAAAAAAGCACATTTTCTGTGCTGCATCATACTAGACAACCAAATCTACTGACATTTTCACTTGCAGTGCAGGGAAGAGTTATTTTAAAGTCTACATATATTAATAATTTGGTATCTTCACCTCACTTACAGAAACTGTATGGTTACCCTTAGTTTTTTCTAAAAATAATGAAGTGTTTTAGTCAGTGGCAGGACCTCAGGTTGAACATAATAGCTACAGACGCTCCCTGGGTTACGCAAGACCCGAATTACGCAAATTCACACTTACGGAAAAAGTTCCATAAGCCAGAAATAGGATTTTCGAGTTGTGGAAATTTTTGCGTAACGTATGGGTATACGTTTCCAACTTGCATAACTCAAATTTTGTGTAAGGCTTTCCAGAACAGAATGATTGCGTAAGTCAGGGGGTGTCTGTATAGCAAATTCAAAGCTACAGCAGCTCAGATAACTTACACACAGAAATCTAGAAATGATATCTTCTTATAAAGCATAATTCTAGTCTATACCAGCAAAACACTTGAAGTGACTATTACATTTATGACACGACAGGAGCTAGGGAATGTTCCAACAGCAGTAATTCTAAAGCAGTTTAGAAAAAAAAATACACTTACAAGAAACTAGAATTTTACTGAACACAAAGCAAATGCCTAATCCAATATTTCATAATTTAGATCCCTATACTCTAGAGGACATAGAGCCAACCCCACACGCAGAGGACACCATGGGAATTAACAGCTCAAGGGATGAAAATCAGCCCACACAAGCCCCATTGCTCAACTTCCCTGCTACAATCCAGACCCTGCTATTCCTCCACTCCTATATTGAGGGCCGTGGCAAGTCATTTCAATTTATTTGCCTCTGGAGAGTCTCCAGCGTTTTATAATGAACAAGGAGAAAGTAACTGGCTACTCATGGACTGGACATTCTTAGCAGGCTGAGCACAGATCACAAGATCATTTTTTGGGGACCCTGAAGCAACGGGAGCCTTTTCCAACGTACTGAATCCCAGTATGCAAGGGCTGATTTGGGACTAGCAACGTGGGAAGCTGCACTGTCCCTGGTGGGCACCCTTCTCCAGGGGTTCTGTAGGCTTAGGAACTCAGAAGTGCCATGGTAAGGATTCTTAGTGTTCAAACATGGCTTCTGCTGGCCTACTTCACAAATAGGCCATCTTTCTCAACCAACAAAACAGAATGGAAATACCAAATTTAATCTGGAAATGAAGGAGTTGGAGCTATGCTGTACCCCCAACCTCATCCCTCCTTCCCAAGGGCTCACTTGGCCCAATAGGGCCCTACCAGCAAGGTTGGCTTCCAGTGATCCAAACTGTTGTGCTAGAAAAACACCCGACTGTATAGGCAAGCAAGACCTGCCGGTGTCCAAACACATCAGATGCACCAATACCTCACAGGCTCTCTTAAAAGTACCTACAACCATCCTTCTGCTATTACCAGCAGGGCCAAATGAAACCTTGGGATTTCCCCTGAGTTCAGCAAGGCTTTATATACTTCAAGGAGTTGTGGAGATCTTGCCTGCTCTTGTTATTGCCCTTCATGTTTGGTGAATGGTGAGAAGCTGGTGTTTTTTGCACACCAATAATGCTGTAGCTGATTTCTGTCTATAGAAGCAGGTGGTCCCAAGGACTCTGCACTAGAAAAATAGTTTTCAGCAATACTATTATGGTGCAATCTTTCAGTAAGTGGGCATAACAATCTGTTGTTCATGTATGATGGTCAGGTCTATGAAAATAGATTAATAGATTCAATTTGTAGATTTTAAGGCCAGAAGGGACCATTATAATCATGTACTCTGACCTCCTGCATAACATGGGCAAGATAATCCCGCCCAGTGACTGCTGAATCCAGCCTGTTTTGGGCAGAGATAGAATGTATCTGAAAAAGAGGCATACACAATTTCAACATAGAGACTCCAACTGATGAAGAATTTCCCACATCCCTTGGTAATCTAGTCCAAATAGAGTAGTGCTATAGGAATCACAATGACTTGCTCAGACCTAGGCAGCTAAAAAAATTGAAAAATAAATCTCTCAAAGTCTCTCGAGAAGTCAGCAAACATCTCAACACACTTGAGTTGGCTGTGCAGATTACACCATACTGGACTGTTATGAACCACCTGCAAGTGAAGATAAGGGCATTAAAGCAATTCAGGTGAAACACTCAGAATTCACTTTCTCCAGTAATTACAGGAGAGCCATCACCACTATTTATGGTTTGGTTCTTTCATTCTCTTCCTGAATTAAAACAGACCCCAGAGCTCAGCACCTTCTGAGCACATTAGAACCCTGGAGAAAGGGCTCCCTATTGCCCAATGAACAAAGCATATGGAAGCATCTGTGCTGGTCAGTTCCTATATGGTGAACATTTGGCATGTGGCATAAATTATATAAATTGCAGGACAGAAGGCAGGCTGAATACTCGTGAATTGGTCAGTTCAAGTGGTGATTGGTAGAGGAAAAAGCAGCAACATTGCTACACAACCTTTGAGGATAAGACACTCAGCAACAGTATTAGCAAATCAGTACGAAAATGCAGAGGGCCACAGCGAAGGGTTCTCATGCTAAATGGGGGACTTGGGTTCAGGCCTGAGCCCAAAACCATCAAGCCCTGGCCAAAGCTTTGGGCAGAAGGGCTGGCAAGATCCTTTGAAGGGAAAAACTGCAGCTGGCAACACCAAAATTGAGATCCCTCTCCATCCTCAAATCAGGCTGTGCAAGGCATGGCACAGGGAAGGGATTGTTATTTACAGTGAAGAAAAAGTTAACTAATAGGCCATGCCTCCAGTGGCACTAGTACACACAGGTTCTGTCGGTTACAGTTAATCAGGTCACAATCAACGGCGAGTCTAGGTCACTCAAATCTAGCCCATACAACAGGTGACACTTGGAGTTTTTTCTTGGGACCCATGTGTAAGAGGCCTTATTTACCTCAACAGGAAGGGGAAATAACTATGCAATTAGAGATGTTATTGTTCCACAACACCACACTCTGACATGAGTCCAAGGCACACTCAGGCACTGCAAAGCTGCGCTGGGCCCTGGGGAGAGAAGGGTAGCCCAACTGCAGCAACAGGCAGCACACAGTATGGAGAGAGCATGTTGTATTTAATATTAGGTGCAGGAAATGATGCTTTCATCACCTTGCCCTGGATGAAGAACTTTATAACATTCAGAAGGAACACACAGCTCATGTGCAGACACGACTGAGTACATTGGGCTCATTTGGTTCAGTCAGGAAGCTGGGAAGTCTGCCACAGAATATTTGAATATAGTGGATGAAAAGCTAGGGGTATTTGCTGTGGGAGAGGGGGCCCTTTTTAGCCATAATATTTGGATTAGGAAAATTATTTTCTCCTAAGACACCATGCTGGAAGTGAGAGGAAGTCAAACCCCTCTGAGGAAGGGCAAGGGGTCGATTAAGGGATATCTGCCTGTGCCATGAAGTGTATATTTAGAGGAAAGGGAGGCTGCATGGAGCTCTTTGCAAATAGACAAACAAAAAGGCAGTAGAAAAGTGATAAAGGAAAATAATATAGCACCAAAAGAGAAGGATAGCTAAAAGGAAATGAGAGGAAAGGGGGAAGAGACAGCACTAACACAGAAAGCTACTGCTATCCCCCTGCTAGGATCTGGGGATGGAGCTGCTCCCAAGCCCTTGAGGTAAGGAAGTCTGTTGCCTTTCATTACCCTGGATTATGGGCTTTGGCCAGCCCTTCAAAATTGTGCAATCCCCTAGAAGTGCTGGGATGATACAGGTGTATATGGGCCCCAAAAGAACTGCAGTTGATTGGCTGTTATGGTATTGTTTTTAAGAACAGCTGCATGGGCACAGAGGCTGGGCCTGGAAGGGGCATTTACACTGGTGAAGGAGAAATGGTTACACACGTTGCATTTGGTGGCAGGTCCATATCACTTGAAACAGCTCTGCAGATGCATGGGAAAGGAATACCAACCCCTGCTCCATGATTGTGTGTCCTAGAGAGCAGAGTAATTACCTTTGATTATACAAGTAATTTGAGGAATGAGGCATTCAAAGGTGGCATGAAGCTGAAAAGCGTGCAGTATTGGTTACTGGCCCTGAGATACCATAGCTAATGTATCTCACTCAATGTACAGTTCCTACATAAGGGGAAGGGGTGGTGGTGGGATGTCCATTAAATGTTCCCATATAAGTGTCACACATGACGACGGCTCCGGGACATTAGAAAATGGCGCAGGATATAAAAGGAATTTTTATGCAGGGGAGAAGTAGGGTGGTTGGCTTCAACAGTACCTCACTCAGTCACTGGCTCACATCACTGGTATTCCAGGACAAGTAGAGAGGTGTTGGCAACTTTGAAATGATGTATTTGACAATAGGCTCATGAACTGCCTGATGGTACAGGGTGCACTTATGAGAATATATCCACCTTTGAGGGCATTATCTAAGGCTTAGGGAAATGTACCTGACAGGTACTAACCCTACATCTAAGCCTAACAGCTAGAGATAAATGCCTGTGCTACCATAATATTTCAATATAAAGCAACAGTAATTGTGTGTGTTATGTTTAGCTCCAGAACTTAAATCATTTTATGTAATAATTATGTTACTGGAACTGATGGAGTAGCCGATAATTTCAGATATATTGTTCAATGAATTTCAGCAGCATTCATCAGATCGTAGTCAAACAGTTGACTATAATGATTATAAAGTCTGCCAAATTCCAGTGAAGCTGGAACAATAATTGTGAATACTATTCACTCATCTCTCCTGCTTTATTAGACCTTCTCTCTTGCCCTGCAACCTAAATCCTCAGACTGTATTGTCTTGTCCAATTTACCCCATTAATCTCTCCTGCCCATACACTCCCATGTTCACTTGAAAATGTTACCAGACTCCAAAGAGCCAGAGGAGTAAACATATTGGTCAGACTGATATAAAAGGAAACTGCTGGGGTTCTTTCCACTGTCCCTTGAACTCTGCCTGATGGCTCCACCATCCAAAATATGACCCCATATTTCCTCCTTTGGTTGCTATCCTTCCTCTATCCATGTCTCCCTCTGATTCTCCTGGCAGTGACCAGGTTGTGTGAGATCTCTGCTCCTTTACTCTTCCCCTCAACCTTCTGGCTGCTGCAATGGTTGTGCCCTATTTCTGCATTCTTCTCCCCTTGGAAGAGCACCTCCACACACCCACAAAGACCACACTGTCACAGTGAAGGACTGGGGGGATGTTAGATGCTGTTGGCACCTTTGATGTCACACTTCATCACCCATGTGTACCAACTGAAGAGACCTCACAGCTCCAGCAGGTATAGGGGTTGAATTGAGGTGGGACATGCTCCTTGAAGAGGTGAGGTGGGATGGGGTGGTGAATACCTTTGTCAGTGTACTCTTCCATGCATCCATACTGCTGGAAGAGACCTCACACAGCTCCTTACTGTGGCAGAAGAATATGGATTAAGGCAGTATCTGCCCCAGGAAGTTTAGAGTGGATGTTTACCCACTTGCTGGTGGAAGAAAGTAAATGCTACGTGAAAGGGGGGTTGGGAGCAGTCAGTACTTTTGTTGATGTTGCACTCTGCCACAGTACCTGGAACAACCCCTTCATCTCTCCACTGGTGTGTGTATGGGGGACAGGGGGTTATGGGGAGTATCTGCCCCATGGGGAGTGAGGACTGATGCAGTCAGCACCTTTTAGGTCACCTTGCATTATGGACTTATACTGCCAAAAGAACTCCAGTAACTCCCTGCTGATGCAAAGACAGGAAATTTGGGGGGCATTTTTTGCTTCATGAAGGATTAGAAGGGGGCAATTTCTATACTTCAGGCCCATGTTGCTGAAAAAGCCTCTGCCACTCCCCACTAGTGCAGGACAGAGAGATTGGGGGCAATACCTGCTCCACGGGAAGACTGGTACTTTTGATGTTACATGCTTTGCTGTTGGCTTGCTTTGCCAAAGAGGCCCCACAGTCCCCCACTGGTGCAGGGAGGAGTTTAGGTAGTATATGTCCCAAGAAAAATGTGGGGCAATTGGTACCTATGGTAACATCTGACTTCACAGATGCATACTGCTGGATTGATATTGGTGGGGGGCTTCACCTCATGAGGATGTTGGTACCTTGGACTACATGGCACTCCACTACAAGCCCATATTGCTGGGAAGAAAGGGAAAGACGGAGGGAGGAGGTGTCTGCCCATAATCAAGTGGTCAGTATCTTTAACCATGTGGCACTCCACCACAGGCTGGAATTGCTAGGGTGAAGGAAGATATTGGACTTAGTCATGTGGTGTGGGCCCTGCTCCGCTGAGAGGATTGGTATCTTCGACTGTTACACTCTGACATTCTATACCTTGGGGGAGCATCCTGTAACCCCCATATTCCTCATTTTTATATAACCGTGATCTTACATATAAAGCATGCCTTATAAAGTATCTGGGGAAAGGTTATCATCTGCTGAAAGTCATTTCTCTATCCATATATGTATATCATTAATGTATATGAAGTTATGAGAATTGTGTTGTATGGTTGTCACTAAAACATGCTGTCAGTTGGGGACTCAGTCAGATATTAGCTCCCCAGAGGCAACAGCAAGGAAAGTAACCAAACATCCCATCTACAACCATTGTCCAGCACAGGAGCTACAATTCAATGACTCACCTGCATGAGGCCATACCAGGGGAATTGCTCAATCTTGGCTGGAGACTTAGCAGTGCCCCCAGACATGCCTGGACTTGTGATCCCCAAGCACATGGGACTGAGGGAATAAAACAGAACACAGTGGCCCCATGCTGGGCCTTTCTCCTTCACCCACCTACATTGCAAGCAACAAGGACACTCTGAAGACTCCAACTGAGGGGACTGCCCCAGATTTCAAGTGTGAAATCTGTGTACTATGAACTGCAATATCCAGTGCAGTGAAGAAAACTGCTTAATCTAGATGTTGCCCAGTCTAATAGGGTTGAGAGTTTAGACTGCGTGCTTATATTTTATGTACTTTTGGTAACTAACTCTGATCTCAGGGCTTGGTTCCTTTGACCAAGTTGCACTCCACCTCAGGCTAGTACCAGGGGTGGGGGACTTGAAGATCCTGGAGGTCACTACCTTTGTCTACGTTGTACTCCACCACAGGCCGGTACCAGGGGTGGGCCAGAGAACTCAGGGGTCGGTACCTTTCACCATGTTGCACTCCATCATGGGCTGGTAGCAGGGGTGTAAAGTCCCTGTCCCAGGGAGAGTGATATCCCAGGGGTCGGTCTCTGACCACGTCGCACTCCACTACCAGCCGGTACCAAGGGTGGGAGGGGTCCATGTCGCACTCCACCATGGGCAGGGAACCACGTTACACTCCACCATGAGCTGGTATCAGGAAGAGGGGGAGGGGGAGTCCCTGTCCCGAGGTTGATACCTTTCACGACACCACACTCCACCACGGGCCGGTACTGGGGGGGTGGGGCGGGGAGGGGGAGACGGTGGGGAATCCTGGGGGCACCACGTCGCACTCCACCACGGGCCGGTACTGGGGGGCGGC